TATATGACGTTATCAACTTTTAACATAATTAATTCATTAACCTGGATAGCATTTTGATTATCTTTGCTTCATTTATAATCCATTAAATTTCGGTACTAAAGAATGCGCTATACAAAATGGAACGAAGATATTGTGAAAAAAAGTGGTGAGTGGTAAGGTCATATGATCATTAAATAATCAAAAATATTATTTAATAAAAGGTATTTCAATTAAAAGGTACAATTATAATTTTTTGCTGAAAACGATTTATCTTACTTAGACGAAGAATGTAATGTTCGGCAAGATCAGCTATTAAGTTGTATAATCTCAAGAACAATAACCAGGTAGTCATAATGGACTAAGAGATGCTAGTTACTTAAAACTGTCGTTCGTTCACAGTAGCACCACTTCATAATTGATTAACCCCTTCAGTTTTTCATCCAGTTGCATAATTAGTAAACAATAAAGTGTGGAAACCGCCGGAATGACGTTCCTGAAACATGTTCAAGCTAAGTTTGTGTATTGAAGTTGTAACATCAATGAATTATCATGACTATCCTTGCCGAACCAGACCGTTACTTACACATTCTTATCACTGAATATAAGCAACAGTTCGAAGATAACCATGATCGAGCTCGGAGTTAGTGAATATCCTCAACTCTCAAGTCAGCTTTCACTAAGAGAGCAGAACTGCTTTCACCAACCCGCTATATACAGAAATTTCTACATCCCGAATAAAGTCAAGATGTTGATTATTCACATAATAAGTAGTAGTCAGCATAAATAAACGAGATTGATTCTCAGATAATACAATTCAAAGTATATCGATGAGTATGATTTTATCTAGTCTATGTACTGTCAGCTGATGAAAATGAAATATTCATGAATCAATTTAAAGTTTACACTTTCTACTAACCAAAGTATTTGTTTAAGAAATGTTTGAAAATCATTATTCACATCAATATCTAAAGTTTGAAATTTGTCAGGTTCCCATAATAATATCACTTTAAAAGTTCTCAAGAAAGAGTTAAGTTGGTTTTGTAAATTCTAGTTACTTATTTCAGGCTCCATGATTCTTCAAATACATAAATAAACTTGTTGTACATTAGACTCAGACAAATACGATATATATTAAAGAATGACTTAAGGGTTAATGAACAAAATAGTAAGTTAATTACACTTCTTGTTAGAATTCAAAGGATTTCTGAAAAGTCAAAAGTTTAATGAGAAATATCTAGTTTCGGCACTTCATCATAATTATATAAATTTCACATATACAGGCTCCAAGCCACAATATTTAAGTGAAAGCTAATGACACTACCAGATTCCTTAAACTAAATTAGGCGTAAAAGTCTCAATCCTGTGAGTTGCTGCCGAAAAAACCGAATGCTTTAACTTCAAATTCGTCACTAGACTGGTGTTTATGCAAATTAAATATGTCGATGGACACGACACATATTAGGAATAGTTCAATGTTTAATAATTACGAATCCTTATAATTCGTATCATTCATTTTCCAACTGAAGCTGCTACTTTGATGTGATGGCTCAATTGAGCTACGTTGGTTGGAACCATCCCAACGGGTTGGTTAAAGGGCGACTAGACTATAAGGAGTTAATTCACAGTGTGGAAGCGAGGTCGTGCTTCCGGTTGAATATGAGTGTGATAGCCCTAAGGTCTTTCTGCTAGACAACTAGCATCTGCAATGATACTGCCCATCCACAACAGGAAGGGATGAAAACGGACCTTAAAAATAGCATGTCTTACTTTGCCCCATGGATTTTTATTATCGACGACAAGGCTTTAAAAGTAAGTGGTTAACTCATCTAAAACTACTCAAAAAAGGCCATATATGACCGGCCTCAAATTGTTGCGTTTTGACCACTTCTAATTCGTTTTATTTTCGGGTACTTTAAGGTGTGAACAATTAGGAAGTGACCGCTGCTCTCATGCTTCTGGCGGCACACGAATTCATTCACTGAAAACCTATTCCAGGGTTTAATTGCCTATCAAAAAATTGAATGGTACATTCTACGAATTATATTTTTGACCGTAACTATCAATATCCCATTTTTCACCAATCTTTAGTGAACACCTACGATACATTTAAACCATTTTTTTCTTCAATAAAAGCCTATTCATAATTATGCTAGATATTTATATATACATAAATAGGTAAGATAAGTAAATAAAATTACGTAATATTAAATGATATCTATGAAAGAAGATGAGTCTTCAAAGCACATTCAAGAGTATACGTTCTTGCAGATACGATCAACACAGTGTTGTAGAACTTATGCACTTCTATTTCCATTTAATGGATTCTGATAAGATAACACTTGCCAGAAGTTTGAAAGATCCCAAATATCTATTCACAACCATATTCATAATGACATCAAAAGATTCATTACACACTTTACTGTCTTCTTAAAGAATAACAATTTTTTGAATATTGAGGAAACAATAATGAGGAACAGTAAAAAAATAACTAGTAATATACAAGAATTTACAAATAGTTAAAGTAAATATTGAATACATTTAGCCTCTTCAGAAAATAAGTCAAACGAAAACCTTCCACAGAGATAAATAATATTTAATATGGTTTTTACTACCGAATCTTCATTGGTGCGAATTTCACGTGATCTAACAACGTGATTGAGTGCTGTGTATGTTTTAGGTCAAAGTTGACAGCTAGATATTTAGAGGGATTTAGTGTAAGACCATTAGAAATAGACTATCGTTTAGTGAGCGATAATAGTTCCTTCATTTCAAGGAGATCCAAATAGGAAGAAACTGGCGTACATTGTCCGCATACTTAACAAGTGTTCTTTGTAGAAGATAGAAGACCACATAGAAAAAGGGAAGGGGAGAAAACAGCTCCTTGTGACACACCAGGTTGAATACTTACCGCTATGAAAATATGGACACAAGCAGTTAGTTACCCAGCTCTCAGTATTAACGCTAGCAAATGTGTTTAACGTCAATAGTTTTGGAGCGAAATTAAAAGCAGAGGTATAGTCTAGAAATCCACATCTAACATACTTCACATCCTTGTCCAAACTGATCATTATACTATGGTCCGAAACAAGTACTTTGTTCATATTTATAACCAAACTTATGTGGATCAGTAAGCTTCTTTAACCCCAACTGGGGCGGGAGGATATGCAGAAATTTACTACTTACTTTACTACTATTAATAAATGATAGTGCAAATACGGCGTAAATGAGTTGTCCGGACATCAAATGCACTATTTAGTATACTTAGCATATGACTAGTAGTGGGATCAAAAACGGGCATTTCTTCCTATTTAACACTTGACAGCTAGATTTATCTGAATATCACATCTTTAATATTCACGTTGAGACTCGAAACTAGTACCTATCGCTTTAAACATTGATTGTATTATCTACTCAGCTACTGACTACATATAGCCACTAACTTTTTAAACAGGTATGAAGGCCATATTAAACGACTCGCCCAAAATGTACACATGAAAAGGGAGATTGGTCAACTGAAATCCTGAATATCAAAGAAAGGAAATTACAAACTCTTACTGATACTAACACACTATGTCCCAATAATATATGAACATTGAAAAATCTTGAAGTGTTAAATAGACTAAATCTAAATTATATAATACGTATGTAACTATCAACTGCATGTAGTCAAGATTTATTAAATAACCAATCGATTACTCAAGTTGATTGTGAAGTTGTTACCCATTAGTGGAATTGAAAGATTGTTGCATAATATCGCAAATTGATTGAAGCGTTAAACAAGTAAACTATTGTAGGTCAGCTTAATGGTTCTAATTGTTAAACGCTCGCTACGAGAGCTCAAGGTATCTACCTAGTTTTAGTCTGTGGGATAGCAAAACAGGCAAATCAGTGCTTTCTGATTTTTAATGGTTTTGTCTAACGAAGACTAACCCGTGGTGAAAACAGTCAAAAGATGTTAAGTCACTAACTATAGAGTCTTGAACCATTCGATAAAGCATTGTAGACTTGATTGTTAAGATCTGTGTAATGACTAAGCGTGATAACTGGAGATTTTTATCCATATGTAGTACAATTGTTGGGGATGTTAAATCCCTATAAGTCACTTGGTAAACGTCTTATTGTTGTAATTTTATTTTGGAAATTTGAATTCGTCATTTTGGCATCAAAAAGGCCCACTTTTACCTTCAGATTGCATTTCCCACTTGGAAGGACCTTAAATGTCATTGGTTCGTCTACTCTTTTAGTACGCTATTTTGTGATGTACATTTTAATGCTGTATATGTATCCATGAGTTTTGTGTTTGTTCGTTCGTGCTTCAGATTGTTTTCGGAGTATATATTGCTCCGGATAAATCTGGTCTTCTCTCTCTAGTTAGCAGAGCTGGGGAGTAGTGAAATAGCTTAGTTTGTCTGGTTATTGTGTTGCTGTATTCGTTCCGTTTCGCTGGTTCTAGGTGATATCATAATCTCTTCAAACGTAGCAACAATAAAACTTTATGCATACATATATACACTTTGTGCTGTCCTTAAAACCGACAATGACGAACTCGAACTTCTTAAAAAGCAAAACATAACTCAACGAATACCTTCAATCAATCCGCGATATCGTGTGACCATTTTCCAATTCGATTGGTGGGTAACTGCCTTCACTGTTGAAGAGTCCCAAGACAATAACGAAACAATTATCCAGCACTTTCTAGTTTAAAATGATTACCCAGCCGGAATCAGTTCGTGATGTATACTTCAAAATTCGACAATCTCCACAGACCCTTTTATACCAGTAATTTAAAGAATAAACTAGAGAAATAGGTGAGAAGTACGGAAAAAAATCAATAACATGAATTCATTAATAAAGAATGTAGCTCTTCAATATTTGATCAACAACATTGGGCGTGCGCTCTTTTATTTGAGTAAGAAAGAACATGACTGATTAGAACACTACTTTTTTTCTTGAAAATCCAAACAAATACAGCCACATTTATTATCATTACTATTATTATTATTATTATTATTATTATTATTATTATTATTATTATTATTATTATAAACGTGATTTATAACGGAATAGTTAGATGAAAAGGGGAAAACAGCGCAACAATTAAAAATGGTAGGGAAGTAAACTATCTTTTACACACACACACACACACACACACACACACCAGCGATCACTATCATGTACTCAATGACAATGATTTTGATGATTGTTTGATTTTTTGTTCAATTAACGTCACAAAGTGTTGCTTTGGTGGTTGACTATATTTACCTAAAATTTGTTCCACCCATAATTGACGTTCACCCAGTGAATTAGACCATGTACCTTAAACGATATGGTATAACACATATAAAGGTATTTTGTATACATAAATTTAACAAAAAAATAATACCATTATACAATTAATCAAAGAATACACAAAGAGTTAAACAAATTTATCATTTGCCTATTAAAGCTAAGGTTTAATGATAAAGATAGTCGTCAGTTGGTCAAGCATTTCAACCTCGTTACGCTTACTGAGGTTTTAATAGTTATGCAGTACATAAATCATTATTTTTAAGTGTATGGTTGAAAGATTTACGATTAGCAGCAAGCTAATATTACACTTATTGATTATTGATTTATAACCAATATGTTTGTCTAGACTAGTTCTTAGTGTTGATTTTACGATACAGCCGAAGTTGAAACAAGATCATATGACCAAGTGATTGGACATTATGGTTGGAGGTAATCTGTAGACAACAAGTTCCAGCCTCCGATTCCATGCAAGTTGTTTCGAAAAATACCAGTGAGAGCAACACTACCTTCAAGATTGCAGATATACCTTTTTAATGAATGTCGACAATGGCCCCGAAACTTGAGCTAATTACCTAGGTAAAGATAAATGTAATTGGTTATGAAACATAATATAAGTTTGACGGTTAGTAATACTATAAGTTGCCCAGAACGAAGTTGCTGGAATAAGGTTTGAACCCAGAACTTATTGGTTGATAGTCGAACCCCTTGCTCACTGACTTATCGCTACAAACTGACTAGGACTTCCTACCAACTAATTTCAAATAGCAAATTAACAGATGGTATTAATTATTACATTTTAATAAAGTTGACAACCATGAGAAAAAGACTTGTAAACTGTATCTGTAGTATCACCAAGCAATAATGTTATAGACTAGCTATTTAGGATATTATTAAACATAATGATATCATTGACCAATGGTTTGAGCCGTATTGATAGATGATGTAAATTACCAAGTGCTAACCGTCACCCAGTGAACCTAAACTTACTTTCCGAATTAAATTCTCTATTAAATTTTGATGATGGCTAAGAGTGGGGATTTGGGACACGTAGTATTTTGTCCTACTCGGAACTTGTTAGCTGGATGTAGGAAAAAAACATCACAGTGTTGATATCCAGTGTCAAACTTGGACATAGAGGCCTTCGTTTTAAACAACTATGCGTCTAAAGCAAATGAGTAAATGGAAATATTAAGGCAATTCACTCAGAATGTACATACACTAACAGAGATTGGTCAGTTGTAATCCTCAGTGGGGAAGTACAAACCGTAAGTAACATATTCTCTATGTTTACCATCATTGATACTACTAAGATTTCAAATCATTTAGACTATTCCCCTCGTTCATTTGATCTGTCTGTGTGGAGACTTGAACCAGAACACACATCTTTTTGTCTCAGCTGCTATGTACACTGATTATGACCGATCGAATAGCTGAAACAATAACCAGAAGGAAGAAAATAAGTAAGAGAAATGATTCAAAACCTTTTTTAAATTATCACTTGTTAAAGACAACACTTACTATATGAATTCAACCCTAAATAGCCAGCAACTGAATGAACCAATAATCTTTGAAATGGATCCAAGCACAATAGATCTGGATGTGAATAATAATTCTTATTATTATTCGTACAGTTGTTAGTCATTGAAGGTGACATTGACTGTGACAACAATGATAATGATGGTGTCCAACGACCAACAATACTATTTGAATTAATTTGAGAGAAAAAATGCTGTCTCAACTCAACTTCAACTCGTTGCATTAAACAAATATCAATCGGAGTAAGTGGACGTTTACAACGTTTTCGATTGTGTCTTAAATTGTTCATCGTCATCATGTTTGTAGGAATAGAGTCTGATACAAGCGATAATACACGAGTAGGAATACGCCGTTCTATTTCTAAATCATGCAAATTGTCTTTGGTTACATTGTTATTATCTTCTGATTGAACAGATACACCTACTAATGTATTTAAAAATAAAGATAATAATATTAAGTTATCATATTACTGCAGATAGATGCTAAAAGAAAATATATCCTCTGAACAGGACACGATCAAACTGTCCATTGAAAATAAAGAAATGACCAGGATCATGACTGGAACACAGCAATAACAAACTGAACGCTTGAAAACGTCAATTTTTTGCAGTGATTAAATTGATTCACAAGCTTTAGCACGGTAAACATACAACTACTACACTTTCAATATAGTATGACAGAGGGGGTGGTTGTTAGGTGAACGAGGTTTGTAGTTGTTAAAATGAATAAACCCGATACCGATTGATAGATGATATGTAATGATACAATATGACCAAGTTGATGGCTGCATATGACACTAAATTATCGACTAGAGATTGAATACAAGATACTATAGTGGCGTTGCTTCGTTAGTCGATCACCTCGATCACCGTTATAACATAAATCTCAAGGGTGTTTGAAATCAGAAGGCAAACAGAAGCGGCAACTACAGTTTATTAGCGGACACCACAGATCACAAAGTTATAATCACATCAAGCGAATTTGAAGCGGAGAGGCGAATGTGTGTGCGAATAAACAAAGGTAAATTTGTAGTCAAATAGCATAAGGGCACAGCAAGGCAAAGCAAAGGCTAATGATAGGATTTGATTACATATATACATGGGGAGAAGGATGAATCATTGAGTGATATTTAAGCGATCAACATTTTAGTTAGAGTCTGTCATGTGGTCTAGTGAGCATAACGCTGCAAATAAATAGACAAATTGTTACTGTTCCAATAATATTCTCTGTTAAGTCAATAAAAGAGCTTAACCAAATTTAACCATAACTGAAATTGGTTGTAGAATAGTTGGTATAATACGCATTAAACCATTCATTTGATAAAATAACGTGCTTAAATGTAAATTATTGATAAGGCAATAGACATGATTAAATTGCATAGGCAATTAATTGGTCATCCGCACTCCAATCATTTAAGACCTTGCCTAACATATCCGATATCATTTAGTGTTAACTTGGAGAAAAAACACTGAAAAACACAACATGTATGAAACTACACTCGAGTGAAACTTTAAAAGTTGACTAAAGTAATCAGTTTTGAATGAACAAAACCTTGATTAGACAACCCGCCAGGGTAATCTATTTGACTTGTGGTTAAACGATTAAAATATGGTCGAGAGACCCGAGAGGTTTTGAGTTTGGTCCTCAGTGGGATCATGGATCGCACTCCTGAAGAGTTCGTGATGTCAACAATAAATGAAAAATATCATTCTCGTTAGTTATAACAACAAAAAACAATCCAACTAAACGGAAATACTTTCTTTTTCTCCATTATGCGTATAAATAATATTATCATATATATTACGTATTGGTCATTTCATGACAATGGTGTTGATATTGAATAATCTGAAAAATTCATCCTTAAACTCTCATTTAAGCATTTTCTACAATTTTATTAGATACAAGTACAGGGAACTATGAAGTGGCTTAGTGACTAAGGTATTCAGCTATTTGCCTTTAAGTCCCAGGTTCAAGACTCGCTTTATCTACTTTGATTTGGACAACCGGGTAGATAGTATGATTAGTCTTCATATTTAGTGTGAAATGGTTAGTTTTTCTTTTTTTTTCTCAGTATTCTTGAATATAGACGGATCAAAACAAAGGCTTATATATGAACAATGAATATTCTTTTCACAATAAATTCTCATCAGGTTCTACAGTTATGATTCTAAATCAATGTCTTCCTACAGTTAACTGTTCTTCGAATTGTTCTGAGCAACCTACGTATTGATATTTTGCAGAGTACGTCACCTCAGTGATTTTCTTATATACTATTTGGACTTACTAGAGGAGTATACGAAACTAAAAACGATTTGTGTATTATCTTATTTTTCTTGGTAATTTATCTATTCTCTTCATCAATAGAAAATCTACAAAATGCATTCTACCTTCAGTTTCTTACTCGCATATGAACTTAACAGTTGAGTAGACACTGAATTGCCTAAAAGTCCCTAATCGATCAGTATGTATCGCTTTGGTAAGGGATGATTGCATCATCCACATATCACTAAATATGTTTTCTTTACTTCTTTAAACATATTGAAAAAACATACACATTGGTAATTTGGAACTTTCCATTCATGTCTAGGAATGCAATTGACCAGTCTCTTCTGGCATATGTGCATCCTGAGAGCAGTCTCAATATTGCCTCAGGTCACAAGCATTATAAGTAGAGATGAATGGTGATGGCTAGCACTGGAATCTAGGACGTGCGTTTCGTCCCATATGGAACCCTTCAGCTGAATACAGCTGCATCCCAAAGTTGATGTACACTACTGGACTCCAGATCCAGTACCGTTCACTTGAAACGTCATTACGTTATCCACTTAGCTACTGAATCCAGCTAGCCAGTGGCTTGTGCAACGGGGTAAATTTTAATTCATACATATTGGTTGTTTGGATCGAGTCCCGGAGTGAACATCAACTCTGGGGTGCGGGTACATCCATCTGACAAGTTCTAAATAGGAAAAAACGTACGTTCGGGAATTACATGGCTGGTCACCATCCATCTCTGCACAAATATCGAAAAGCATATTAAGTGGGAAATTATACTTGTGAAATATCTTGGAGTATCAAATTGAATGATTAAAATGTACTTATAGCTTTAATTTGACCTTGGTTGTATCCAGAATCGTTATTTATCCACTTAAATTTAACAAAAAAATCTTCACACATAATACGCATACCATCACATGGCACATCTTAAACAGATGTCACAATAAAATGAATCACATTCTCACATCGTACACAAAGTCAATATTGGAAGATGATTGGACGAACAATTAGAATAGAATTATTTTCGATCTCATTTCTCTTCGATAACTTCCGTCATGAAAGTTGGACTAAATTGCTAGGTTGTTTAATTTCAAGGCCATAGATTTTTACAAATATAATTTCTTTATTAATCAGCACGATGATTGTTCAGATTGTTGAGTTTTATTATGATCACAAACCGATCTAAGTTAAACAACTAGTGAAAACCTGGAAACACTGAACAGTCTGTTCATCCTAGTATGGGATTCCTCAGTAGTGTGCGTTTACACCATGGCCACCGAGGGCCGAACCTAGGACCTTTGGCCTCGTGCGAACACGTAACCTCTAGGTCGCTCTGGGCCACGATCCAGTGGTGTACAAGTCTAACTTCGACCAATCAGTAGTAACGCGCGACGACTTTCTATTATCTTTGGTTATTTAGGATTTTATACCACTGAATCCCAACTCAATGATCTAGAGATTAAGCGTTCGAGCGCGAGGCTGAAAATCCTGGCCTCGACCTTCGGTGGTGAGGTCATGGATGTACACTGACGAGGAGCCCGACATTGGGGCGAAACATATGCCCAGTGTTTCCAGGTTTTCGATGGTTAACTTAGGTCGACTTGAGATCTCAATAAGATTTCACTTTTGATGAATTTTATATACTCGGTGCCAATTTATTGTGAAACTATTTATTTAAAATTGTACGAAAGTTTTTGTTAAAAACACTGAAAAAATGTACGCAAAAGTACAGTGCCCGTAGCTCAATTAGCTAATGTGAAACATATAACAACAGGAAGTTTACTTCAACTTCAATCGCTACACATAAGAGGACTTTCGTAGACAGCAAACGTGAGGTTTCAGGAGATTAAGAATAGCAGTTTGTGAACTCGGTCGTTAGCACTAGTCGGATAGGGGAAAAAAGAGTAAGCCATAGAAGAGGGGTCGATGGTAGGGAAAGAAAAAGTATGAATTAGTGAAGAAGGAATTTGATAGTTCATAAAGTAGTCTAGAGCGTTGTTAGAGGTGTGTGAATGGCTATCGCTATCCGGTCCCGAAACTGTAGAAAGATACTCCTTGAAGTACCTGGGTCAGTAGGTATTCCACTGCTAATGATTTACCGACCGACAGATCACATAAGTCTCGTTATATCATTTGTATAGATTATGGTGCCAACTAATCACATAGCATAAAACAGAAAATGGTTTAAAAATTTACCCTCTGCGAATAAAATTCGCTAGTGAAATGATACTGATGAATATCAATTTACTTATCTGACACTAGTAAATAAGAGGTTAGTGAAAGGCTTTCATTACAAATGGAAAATAAACGTTACAGCATTTGTGGTTACGACACAGGTATACGATAACTGTGAACAAAACAGTCCGAATATAGAGGCTAAATTATAAAAAAATACCTGAGTACATATGTTGATCTTCCTTATCTGTAATGAGATTAGTACTTCTGTTAATTAAATCTTTTATAACCGTGACTTTCGTACAAAACGCATGAGCCGAACCATAACTTCTCAGAATGTGTTGATTTCCTGAATACATTTACAAAGTAGCGTTTCTCGATTGTTTGGTTGAATGAAGACATAATAATAAGTTGGAAATAAATGTATTAACCTCGTTACAGATAAGGAAACCAACAGGTTGAATTATCTAAACTTAGGGATAACGATTACCCCAGAGTTTTTAAAGATTATTAGAAATGAAAGAAAAACTAAACTAGAATGTATACCGAAAGATTGGAAGTCCACCGTGGTCATCCTATACCGTAGTGAAACATCGGGAGAAATCGAGAGGGTTCTAAACAAACATGATATAAGAGTGTATTTTCACGTTTGTGACACTATAAGATCAGCATTAGTGAAAGTTAAGGATAGGTTCCTAAAGGAAGAACAACAGATGTTGTTTATGAGATCAACTGTCATGATTACAGTGCAGCTTATGTGGGAGGAACTTTCAGACAATTGAATGTGAGATTGAAGAAACACAAACAATGTTTGAAAAATATTCCCAAATCCTTGGTTGATCTAAAGAAACTTGAGAATAGGCCGGCAATAGCATTATATGAGTCGGAAACAGGACACAAGATCAATTTTGAAGGGACCAAAATACTTCAGAAAGGTTTTAACACATATAAAGAAAGATTGACAACAGAAGCGCTGTATATGTGGGCGAACAAGAACAGCCTGAACAGAAATGATGGTATTCAACTAACAACTACTTGGCAAATATTCATTAACAAATAATTGAACCCATTCTCTATCCAACCTGTTTATTTTATATGGATCGTTATTTTGACTGAAATTAATGTAGGTTATTCTAGCAACACAATGATGTATTTGATGATTCTCATTCTAAATGCACATCAATGATCCAGAAACAATTTTTCTCAAACTAACTTGTACTTTTATTTTTCCTTCATATGAAAACATATTAACACCTAATATCAACTATTAATAACTCAATCTTACACATAAACACACAATCCATTCAGTCATTTGTTTTCACATTGTGAACTTTTCACATGATTTTCATTTAACTGACTCATCTTATTCCATTTACTAAAGTCAACATCTAAATATGATTGCACTAGCACAGTATAAATTTGATTTAATTGTTAAACACTGTGTATTTCTTTGATGATTTTGGTTATTAGCCTGAAGAACTCCAGACAAGTTTGCTGGACGAAACGCTGGAATTATTTAAATTTCATTCGCTGAGATTATTCCAAATATAATTATCACATATAATGACTTATCTATACTCGGCGCCCAATTTTTGCCAAACTATTAGTTCTAATCTTGACCAATATTTGTGTATCAAAATGGGTTTTGTGGATATTATAGTAATTTTAATAGTTGAGATCATGAGTCAATTGAAGCTAGATCACCATGGAAAACCTGGAAGCACTGGACGGTCGTTTTGTCCTACTGTGGGACTCCTCAGCAGTGTGCACCCATTATCCCGTCTCGCGAGATTCGAACACAAGACCTATCAGTCTCGTGTGCGAGCGCTTACCCATTAGACCACTGAGCTGGCCGGCATCCAACGATGTTAATGTCTAAATTCAACTAATCCCCGAAATTGAGCGACGCATTCACCATTGTCATCAGTGAGTTACTATCTCATTCGTAGATATTGTTTGCCACTGAGAACGATTCTTAGCCATGATACCCAGTCTCTCTAACCACTGGTTGCAACAATCACGCGAACTGCAACTTAGTAACACTGCTCAGTCCAATTAACAAAGATTTCATGTATTGCTACCACACCTTGGTTTGGTTTCCCTTTATTTTCTTTCAGTCCACTCCTACACCAACATCCCTGGTTGAGGTAGGCGGGGTTAGGCATACGTGGCATATGTCTTGACCCCCTTAATTAATGAGCTGTCTGCATAAAACTATAAAGCTACACGTAAACTTACGACATTTCTATGTAGAAATTCATTAGCAGTTTATGTCACACGATAATAATGATCATAACTTAATCTTGGATTTAGATTATCAAACAAAACTTTTACAGATCTAAAACATTTTGAAAATGCATACCTCTTTGTAGCTAAACACTTGAGTTACTTAGAAACTCATCTGTAGTTTGATTTACCAAGTACAAATTTATGTACTCAGTTAATTATAAGCTACACGCCTGGTGCATGGAAGTTTTGGTTGGTGCTTAAAAAATTAAGTCCAACTGAGTTAACTAAGTACTGTAATCTAATTTTATCTCTAAATCTATGTGACCGCTCTTTCAATGATGCAGTTAACTCAATAGGCTAGCAGCCTGGGGACAAACCCTAATTTATTCAATACCCTACACTGTTAACTGAAGTTGGTATTCAGAGAAGCTGACGACTTCCGATACATAGTGGTATTTTAAGCTGAGAATATGAACGATTTTGAATAAAGACGTGTTTCCCGAGGGTAAATAAAATCTGTATCTCCCACCGGTTTTGTCTTTTTCTTTGAGTCTCACTTTTTGCTGGTTCAAGTGATAGCCCTTTTCAGGTTACGCGACAGTGATACTACGTAGCTGATCAAACCGAAAAAGCTTGAGTGTGAGGGATTAAAAATTCGACCAAATGGTTGAAGGCCAATTTCTCTAATCACTGTGACACTTATCCATATTTGTAGACATCATTGGTGAACTATTCGCATAGGAAAAGCTGACATCAAGCATAAAATTGGCTAATATATAAGAAAACATCAACTCACTAAGTGATACCAAACACTACAATTGTCATGAAACCCAATTATCGAGAATTCAACTTGACCACAAAAACTTGGTTCTGATTCCACACAAAAAAATGAATAAAACACTACACACAAGTGGAAACTACTTTTTAAAACCAACGCTGATGAATTAGACTTACACATATTAAGATTAGATTGTAGCAGTGAATTCACATCATCAAATCGTTTCTTCCTCTCTTCACGTTTAGATCGTCTACATCGATGTTTCATATGACGTTTTGGATTAGATAAAGAAGACGGGGTATGGTGAATAGCAGAAGAATATGATGGTATATCATCTTCATTATCATAATCATCACTACCTGCCATCTCATCATCATTAATTTTGTTTTTTACACGAAGTGTACCAAGAAGCTTCCCTTGTTCTTTTTCAGATAATTGAATAAATGCATCCCAAGCAGCTCGAATACTACGGGGAGGGATTTTAAAAAAACACGAGGAATTAAATTGCTCGTAAATTTAACGCAACATTCTATGTATCCATTTCAAAATAATAGACATGAATTATTTGATTCTTTGATGATTAAAATGTGTTGAGAAATGCTATATTTTAGTTGAGGAGATATAGTAGAGGTTGGTTCCATTGGTAGACTGTATTCATCACAAAACCCCTTCATGTAAATAATAATAATAATAGTCAGCTCCATATTGGCTTACTTTAAGATGTTTCTTAATTTCTAATAAGAGGTTAAAAGTGGTGGAGTTTAGGCACGTCTAGAGTGAAACAATTTTTACCGATGGTACTAGATAATCGTTATGGTGAAACGCAAATTATATCACAGGGTCACAACCCAGTGATCCAAATAGTTAGGCGTTCACCAAGAGGACTTCAGGTCCTCAGTCGTGGATGCGAGTTGTTGAGGATTCTCGTACTAGGGCCAAACAGCTGTGTTCAGTACTCCCAGGTTTTACAATAGTACCGCAATTAAGACCATTCTATAAAGAAAATGTTAGATTTCCCAAATAGTCCACAAGAATTAATTAAACAAGGGATAAAAAATTCTAATCATCATTGGAAAATCCCAAAAACCAACTGCAAAAGGGTGGAAGAATTAAGTTCCTTGAAATTAATACTTGTAGCTCAAAAAACAAAAATATCACAATAACCTCTCTATGAATACCACCCATAAGTTTGCTATTGTAATTATCATAGGCTGGAGTATCAAATACACTTTCTTCCGAAAAATTCAGGTTATAGGATAATTTTGAGAAGAGGGCAAGTTTATATTGCTGGCTACTGTGTCCTTGAATTGATGAGTAGAGTTACGTAGCGATAATATGGTGTATAAGAGAATGCTTTTATGAAATGCAGCCAATACAATTAGTGATTATAGTACCGATTACCAAGTTTGGGTCAAGTGATGAACAGGAATACAAGAAAACAATTTACGACCATTATAACGTCATAAAAATGCGAATTTAAAGATGCTTCTGTGTTAAAACTAAAGTCTCCCCACAACTGATAACATTCAGCTAACTGTCCCACTAAAGGAGGGAATAACTAAGGTCAAACCTGATCTACAGTTGAATATGACTTTTTATTTTGTAAAACATTAAACTGCTAATTCTTTATTTTATTTATTTATTTGAACACATAAATATTGGTACAAAGGGGCACCAAATACATATGCGCCACACAAGTCACCTGATTTGTGTGTGGGCTGTGATACTGCTCGGGTGCCCAAACCGAAGCAGGGACTGGCAATTCATATTCCTTCAATTAATTTATGAACTCATTTTAAAAATGGGAGAAGCATAACAACCAAAGAGTATCCACAATGACTTAATTTGTAGTGAAAAGTAGTTTCTAATATGTAAACTAATTTGTGAAGTAGACGAGAATTGATTAAAATTATTGATCCTAATAATGAATAGTGTACTACTTATTTCCCGATTCAGTACAAGACCATAATCCTTACATATTTTTGCATGTGACTGATTTCACGTGAACAGAATAATGAACAGGAATTATTCAAAATGTACAGTTTAATCATATAAAACTCAGTACAGTATTGGCTAAGGTTATTCGTAATGCTCAATAAGTGGGTTGTATCTAGCGTTTTTGACCAATTTTCTGTTCATTTAGTGGATGAGTGCTAGATATTAAAGAGAAAAATTCAAATCATAATTTCACCATATGTTTTTTATCCGACAAGTTGAGTCGCACTACACTGATATGTTTATAATAGACAGTTACAGACGGATAACTTTAGATACATAAAATGAAATCCATAATAAAATCACTTAGATATGCACCAATAACTCACTTAACCCATGATCCACATGGAAACTTCCAGCGGCCAATATACAACAATCAATTTAATCAATTATATGGACCAAGCTGAAAATAACCCTCCGATATATTTATCATATGATCAGAATAATTATCGGGACTAACCACTTCAAAAGTATCATTTTATACATTTTGTTATGTATACCAATTACATACAAGATGCTTAACTGTTGGAGTTGATAAAACTTTACATATTAGTGGTGTTTTCAGTTAAATGAACTATTCAATTATTATATATTATAAGACCTTTCAAATATTTATAACGCACCATCTGCAATAATGTTCAATTCGGAAATAAAATAACCTTCATTTAATTTTAAATGGGTCGGTTTATCCCGTTGTTCAGTCTCAGTCGCATATGTGCATTTTAAGAGAATCATCTCTAGATAGCTAATTATGACAAGTTAATACAGAATAGATGGAATGTGGCTAACAATGGAGCCCAGGACGTGCATTTCATCCCATATGGAACCCTTTCAGCTGAACCCACCTGCATCCCAGAGTTGGTGTTCACTACCGGACTCGAATCAAATACCGTTTGCTTCAAACCTCATCGAGTTATTCACTTAGTTAATGTATCCAGCTAGCCACTGGCTTGTGTAACGGACATGAGCTTTAACTCAATTTGAAATGGATTGAACTCTTCCGTTTTGAAAAGAAAACTAGTAATAATTTGAGTGTATCACCAACATAACTATTAGTAATATTGATAGCTTGAGTTTAAAACCTACTTCTCATCTTCTAGTAATTTAGTAAACGTTGAACAATAATTAAAACTTTCAGGCCAACAATCATCAATATTGTCTCCATCGGTTTCAGTAATCACAGCTAATGTATTTAAATAAACTTCTAAAGAAAAAAAGAGAACAAAATATATCGGTTGATTAACAACACACATACAATTTAGTTTATTGTGTAATTTCCATGGTCGAATTTTGTCAATTTAAACGATTTGTCTTATTTTTAAACGTGTTTCTTTTACCTAGAGATACTGATTTCAAATTCTTAAAAGTTCAGGTAACTTGGTGTATGTATTTATGACTAAAGCGTACGTAACCTGAGTCAGCCTGCCTTACAAGCAATAAATCACTAGAAATTTGAACAGAATTACTATTATAAAAAATATTTAGTGAGTGTAGTGGACTTTTGTCAGATTTGAAAATTTCAAATAACTACGTGACTTGAAGCGTTAGTATCCATTACAGACTGGCATATTTTTTGAATAACTCACTAACCAGGTACACATTTGTGCAACTGTTTTAGAACCATACTATTAGTATGAAGGTTAGTATGGCAGTAGCCATCTATCCAAAATGGAATAGATGGAACGGGGTTCGAATATACGACCTAATGGCCGAAAGTTGAACGGCCTAATCACTGAGCCAATGCTTCATATCATATAGAGTCACTGAAAATCAAGAGGAACTGAACAGCTGTTTCATTCTAACTTTGGACTCTTTAGAATTGTGAGAATACAACTCTTGCCAACGATTAAGACTAGATTTTCCAGAGTTTAGATAAAGAAAAGCTTGTAAAACCCTATTTTTAAGGCTGTTACGAAGCAAATGTAAAAACTGAACCACAGTTTATATATGTATATTCATATAATGGAATACCAGTTTGAAATGATTTAGTAATAAAAAACTGTTAAACTTATTACAGCAGTATGAATCAGTGCCAAGATATGGATCCACTTCCCATTCTTAGATTCCATACCCAACTTTTTAGAAAATATAGTATAGGGTTAATAAATCTTTACCACTGAATCCAACTTCCTAGTTAAGTAATGATGAGTTCCTAGCGAGAAATAACAACTTCAAGCTTGAGTTCATGGTATAAAGGGGTATAACAAATGGGTTAAAGGCTTGGATGAAACAATTTGGCTCTTTATACCATTCTTAAACGTTGCAAAATTGTGCTTGCTTCATAACAAAAAGCAATGGTTAATTGAATAATCCTCTAAACCAATATAGGGTAAATATTTAACACACTGAAGCCCGCATCGATCAAAAAATGTCTTCATACCATTTTCGTATCTTCTCATCGCCCTTGCTCCAAGCCTTATTTCGCCAGGACTAGCTTTCACAGGTTTATTCCTGGTTAAAGATTTTTTCGGACGATAAGGAAGAACGTATGATAAATCAGAAAGACCACTCTCTGAAGTTGTATCAAAATCAGAGTAGTGTGGCAATGACTGACAGGCCAAAGCTGATCTGAATAAGGTAAAATGGGAAAGTAATACACACAAACATAAACATAAACCCACATGAACTATTGGATAAAACGAATTTCAATGTGTATCATGGACATCAAATACTAAATTCAAAAGGGTTTACACTTAGAGTGACTACGTGTGGCGCATATATATTTGGTGCCCTCTTGTACCAATATTTGTGTTCAAATAAATAAATAATAGAGTGACTTGATTAAGTGAACCCTACAATAAAAAGTCTGATTACTATTTTGATCTGCAACTCAGCACTCTGAGTACTCCATTACAGCCACTGAGTTGAAAGTTCTGAATATCTTGATATTTCGCCGATCACTGAATCACATTGCAACCACGTCTATAACATGCACGCGAACACAACTGATCAAAGTTAGGCAATGGAGGAGATGGATTTACTACTTGTCTACGGACAGACTTAGTTTCTAAATTATTTTATACACCATTTTTCTCAAGTTTATTCTTCTAGAATTATCTCTGTCCAAGCTTTTAATCATCACTGATACTACTAAAATTTCTACTACTCTGATATTCGTCTTTGCAATGTCGGTGTGTTATGGCAACTTCAGTATGTGTCAGACCCTACCTGTCTTACGACCGACATTCTCAATTGTTTAGTAGTGTTGTAATCTATACTAATCTAATTTTACGTTTAAAACACTCGTTATCCTAGACAGATTGACTAAATGGTCAAACAGAATCCCCCAGATTATAGCAAAACCAAGTCACGCTTGAAAATGATTACGAACTAAATAGTGGTGAGGAGAAACTCAAATTACAGAATGTTACGAAAATGAAGTGGTAATTTGCTCAAAATTTGAACTTGTAGACACTAAATTTTATGATTCGCTTAGGTTTTACCGACATTCAATTGTTCGTACAGAAAATTAGCAATAGACCTTTCAGCATAAACGTGAAGAAAGTACAGAAAAAGATGATTACATTACCAGTTTGATTATGTAGACATATTACTAATTAGTCGAGCACAAACTAAGGATATTACATGAAAACGCATTGCCCAAGTTACCACATTCAAGAAGAAACTCCGGCCCCACCAATCAACTTACCATCTTTACCTAGTACCCTAGTTCAAACTTAGCACCACTGACCGATTAGTTCCACCATAAGCAAATAACGCAACAAGGGAATCTAAGGACAAGTCCCAGCAACCTATCCATGTTTCTAACCTTCCGCAATGCGTTTCACAACTGCAACTAGAGACAGAAGGAACCAATGCCCAGTAAACTTATATGGTCGAGATTTTTGCAACCACCTACCTGATTAAAAGATGACACCTTCATAACAAATGAAAAGATAGTGGGGACGAATAATTCGCTCTATAATTTAACCTAATCAAGGCGAGCCAACCCTACAGCAACAACTTGCATTTGAAGTTAGGATAACTTACTCTGAAGCTTATTTTATTGTCACTAAATGATTTTAGAAGACTATGCTCTTGGCCAGTGTCTTAATTAAGCGGTACTCCTTATCAGGTCCTTGCTCGGTGGATAGTAGCTGGTAAAACTATTTAGTGGATACTATTATCACTCCATTCGGTCATCGAACGAGCATAAGCTAAGTTTACTTTTATAGGAGTGTAAAGTAACATTTATTAAACACTTAAAAAAAAATGACACCGAGTGCAAAAAAAACGACCAGTGAAATTGATAAAGATGATCTTACCAGCAGTTATTCTCACTACCAAAACTTTTGTGTCGGATATTCTATGGCTCGATTTATAGCTATATACTGAAAAATCGAGTGCCGAATTATTTTCAGATTTCAACAACTATGTCCTTACCTATATACTCAAGGTTGTCAAAATGAGGTTTTGCAATCATCATTATTGAAATAAAAGTGAATTAAGGAATGAATGAAGACAAATAAAATTCGATTTAGCATCGAATCGACACAACAATCTACTCACGTCAACATTTTCTTGATGCCTTCGATTTTTTGTGAGGTTCTGTTTTCAATAAACGTTGTTTGGACGAGTGATAAAATATTACGGCCCCTAGGATCGATTATCACAAGAGGCAACCGACAAGAAAGAACACCCACAACGACCTACAAGTTGAAAATGGAGAGTTTCGCTTTCAATATCCGGTATTCAATGACTCATATGAACTACTGCAGTCAGATTCAGATTTGTGAAGTAAAAACAGAAGGCCTGCGGCCCATGTTATTCCTTTTCTAGTATGCTTCTGTGAGTGTCCAGTCTTCTCTTGAAAGAGTCAATTGAAGATGCGGACACCACTGCTTCGGCAGCAGGTTCCAAGTTCAAATGGTTCAAATGGTTGTGGACGGAATAGAAGAAGCTTTCGCTTAACAGGCTTCCGTGTCTAGTAGCAGGGGATCACCAAATCCTCCAGGCAGGAACCTAGGTATGTTAACAATAAAAGAGGAAAAGAAATTGGTAAATCATAGTGTGATGCTGTCCTTGGTCCTTAAGAATAGGTCAAGTTGCCTCTTGAAGGACTCCTGAGAAGTCGCTTGGACTAGCTCGGCCGGCAGCGAATTCCAGCTTTTGACAACTCTTAAGGAGTAGAAGTTGTGTCTACATTCCGTTTTGCTATGTTGTGTTTCCAGTTTCTGGGTGTTACCCCTTAGGTTATTATTCGAACTAAGCTTAAGTAGGTGTTTAAGAGGATGTCCAGAAGTGTTAAGAATGCTATAAGCCATTAGAAGATCACCTCTAAGACGCCTATATTCGAATGGGTAAAGGTCTAGTGAATGGAGGCGTTCTTCGTAAGGCTTAGATTTGAGTCCTCGAACTGATTTCGTGGCTCGCCGTTGGATACGCTCCAAAGTGACCTTGTCCTTTTGGAGTGAGGGAGGGAGTACTATGTTTCCGTACTCTAAATGGGGACGGATGAAACTATTGAAGATTGTGTGGAAAGTTCGTCCGTCAAACTGTCCAAAAATGCGCTTCAACGTTACCAGTGCAAGGTTTGCTCGGAAGGCATTTTTGTCACAGTTAGCGTAAGACTTTAAATCATGGGGCACCAGGACTCCTAAATCTTTTTCGACTTGGGATACTACTAGAGAGGAGTTTCCTAAGTTGTAACTGTAGTTTGCAACATGTCGCAGATGGACTACTTTACACTTTGAAGTGTTAAAGGTAAGTCCGTTATCGTCTGCCCAACTTTGAAGTCGAGTCAGATCCTCCTGAAGTGCCTGTGTATCGTCTTGGTTGCGTATCTCTCTCCAAAGTTTCACGTCGTCGGCAAAAAGTAATAAGTCTGACGTTACCTGTTGAGGAAGATCATTTATGTAGATCAAGAAGAGAAGAGGCCCTAGTACTGAGCCCTGGGGGACCCCACTAGGACATTCCATAGCCTGAGATAAAGTGAAATTAACCCTAACCTTAAAGTGTCGATTTTTTAGGTATGAAGTAAGCCAATCGATTAGAGGTGGTTTGATACCTAGTCGTTTGAGCTTGTTGATAAGACACAAGTGGTTAACCTTATCAAAAGCTTTTGAGAAATCAAGGTAAATGATATCAACCTTTCCCTTGCGATCGAGGATGCTTGTCCATCTGTCCACCGCAGTCAGCAGGTTGGTTATACAAGAGTAACCCTTCCTGAAACCATGCTGTTGGGGTGAGAAGAAATTTAAGGACAGTAGATAGTCATTTAAACCGTCGCATATCAGGGACTCCATGAGTTTTGAAGGTAATGACAGAAGAGCCACCGGCCGATAACTTGAAGGTTCATTGCGTCGACCACCTTTGAAAATTGGTGTGATGTGAGCCAACTTCCAATTTTCCGGTAATTTGCCTCGGCTAAGCGAGTGTGAAAACATCACGCTAAGCGGCGTTGCCAGGATTGAGGCTGCCTCCCTCAGTATGGCAGGATGAACCATATCCGGGCCAGGAGAAGTATCTAGTCTTAAGTGCTGCAATTTCCGGAACACCAAGTCAGCGCTTAGGTCCACTTCGGAAAGTCCTGTGGAATTGCAGATGAAACTGTCGTCAGTAAAGTTGATGTCAGCCGGTTGAAATGTTTGAGAGTAATGTGCCGCCAGAAGGTTAGCGGCGTCGCCATCGTTGTTGTTCGGGCCGTTAAGACCTAGCAGTTAAGAAACTCCTGTTTTGGCTTGACGAAGAGAGGCTGCATAACGGGATAGGCTTCTAGGGTTAGAGGCAAATTTGTCCATAAGCTTTGTCTGGTACTGAAGCCTGTCTTCTCTTATAGCCTTCGTGCATATGTTCCTCATATGTTTATATTACCTATGAGCTCCGTCGTTATCAGTTCGTTTGTGTTCCGCCCAACAGTGCCTTTTGCGACTTAGCAGGCGAAGGGTACGGTTCTTGATTACTGTAGGTGGCTTGCAGCTTTTGGGAACCGTTTGAAGAACTGAATGGTCTGTAGCACATAAGAGCGTGTGCAGTAAGAAGTCCCAATGACCGTCCACATCGAGTTGAGGGTGAACATCCCAAACCACCTGTTGTAGATAGTCATGTAGAGCTGGCACATTCAGCCGTTTAATATTCCAACGCGAATTATTGGTGGCCTGCTTGAATATCTGGGGTACCTGTTTCTGACATCTGATCATTTCAACAAGTTATCTGTTTTTCATTTGTTTTAATTTATAATTATGTCCATTAATCGCATAACCTATTCAGGCGCTTTTATGAAAAGCCTACGACCTTTCGCTGCACAAGTTACGAAAAAGTACTATAAAAGGCATCGTGGTGGTTGGCAATATGCGTTAAAGAGAATGAACATCAATCGTTTGTCGATTCCCGAGCTACTAAATTCTAACTGCCGATCACTAATCAACAAAGTGGACTATCTGCAATTCCTGCTTAGTCAAAATACGTATCGTAATTGTGGTGTCATCACAATTCAAGAATCTTGGTTGAATGATTTACAGGATGACTGCCTTGTATCACTACATGATTTCAAAATTTATCGTCAGGATCGATCGAACAATAAAAGAGGTGTGGTGGCGGTGTAGCTACGTTTGTAAACATAAACTGGTGTCGATCTTCGTTTGTGTGTTTTAAGTTTTCAAATGACTTTATCGACTGTCTTACACTAAGATGTCGTCCAAAACATCTGAATAAATACAAATATGTTTATGTTACCAATATCTACGTTGCTCCAGATTGCACATCATCTGCACTATCTGTTTTTGCTGATGAATTCACTGAGTTCGCTGTTACTGCCTTCAGTGATTCACTTTCAGTTGTATGTGGTGATTTCAATTCATGTGACTGTAGCTTTCTTACGTCACTAGGTCACCAAAACGTAGTAGATTTTCCTACTCGTTTGGATGCTCATTTAGACTTCGTTTTCATTAACGATGTGGGTATATATGCGACTCGTAATCGTGCTCCATTGTCTAGCTCAGATCACTGTTTAATTCGTGTTCTACCTAAAGTATATGGAAAGCATGGGAAGAATACACTCTTACATCAAACCAAGAAAGTCAAATATAGGAATTACTCAGAAGAAAATATCCGAAATCTAAAAAACATGTTTCATACGACTAACTGGGAATTATTTACAGATGACTCACTCGAAAACACCACTGATGTTATCACTCGTTACCTTAAATTCTGTTTTGATATTTGTTGTCCCACTGAAACCATTTTTGTAAGTTTTGATCGACTTATATCTTCACAACTAAAACGACTACGGAGGATGAAAGAAAGAATGTACAAGGAGAAGAACTCAAATGAAGTTCGTAAGCTAAATGGTCTGATAAATCTAGAGATTAGACGTCTCAACTGCATGTTTACTCAAAAACTCTTATCTTGCAAAAACTCTCCAAGTATGTGGAAATTCTTTAAAGAACTTACAGGTGAGGGACAGTTTAGAAGCGGTAACCAGCTGAATGTTTGTGACTTAAATAAGTCTTTTGTACGTCAGTCATCTGATGTGATGCTCCCTCTATCCACGGGTTTAAAAATAGCTGTGTTCATACTTTTACTGAAACTGATGTACGAGGATGTCTCCAGTCGCTTAATTCATCTCGATGTTTGGGTCCTGATGGTATCCCAAACATCCTTTTTAAAAATGTGCTGACGTTCTGTGTCATCCGTTCACAACTATATTTAACAGATCTTTCTCATCCCGACCGTTGTTGCTACCTTGACGTGGTGGTCGGGCTTGCCTATCGTGATGAAGCAACCGAGCTATACTGGCTGGAACAACCGTTCCTCAAGGTCCTACCATGTCAGACAGGTCGGTTGAAGAGCGGTAAGACTAAAAGCAACAAACCCAAGGTCCGAAGGCGAAGTCGTACTGCTGACTGTACAGAGGTGTGACAGCAGTAAGGTGTTTCCTTCAGACAACCAGCATGACAGCGATGCTGCCTTCCCACAAGGAGGGGTGGGGTTAGAAAAGGTCGACCCTAAAAATGCACACCTCGCCTTATCCCACGGATATCCGTCTCCGGCGGTAAGGTCTCAATAAGTACGGAGCTAACACAAAAATTACCCATAACAAGGTCGTGTGTGACCGACCTCAAGCAGTTGTCCCTTGGGCACTGCGGTCACGCTCTCAGGTCACTAAGACCACCTCTAATCCAATTTCCTTTTCAGGTACCTCCAGAACAACCCTTCCACGGTGTGGGCAACCGGGAAGTGATAACCGCCCTCACACTTCTAACAGCACTCAAGACCACTGTATTCATAATCAACCTCCCTCTTCAATTCCTATTATTCCTCCTACATCGACTTTCAACTCTAAATTTCCCCTCTCGGCTTCCACCTCAAGTGTCACCATAGCCAACGATTCTAGTGCGCAAAACACTGTCCCAGGTCTACTGAAACCTCGCTCCAAACTACACATTGGAGCCTTCAACGTACGCACCCTATGTCAAATCGGTCAGCAGGCTTCCTTGGCTAAAACCCTAGAGTCTCTTTCCATTGATGTGTGCTGTGTCTCCGAAACACGCATACAGGATTCCAGTGTGGTCATTCA